CATAAAGCCGTGCGATTTCAACTGTGGTCAGTCGAGGTACTCTCCGACGGCAAACGCTACAATGTTTTGTCATTCGCCGAAATTGGCATCAACAGCAATTTACTCGCACTTGTTGAAAAACGAAGGGTCCAAACGCTTTCGGAGCATTGAAAGCGGGTCTTTGATAAAGGAGGGATCTACTTAACCCTAAGCCAAAACATTACTTCTTTATCTGTTTTCCTCTCCATATTATATGAATAAAACATTTCACATATTTGAATGGGATGACCTAATATAGATCAGCCACGCTGCTGTCCACTTCGTTATTAGCCTTCTACATCCATAGTTGTTCTGTTCTAGGTATTCCTTTATTGCCTGCCATGGTCGGTCGTACTGAAGTGGACAAGGAAGAAGTACGAGTGACCGTTAGTGCCGAGCCTGACTCAGAAATGAATGTGACTCTTCCAGTAGTACAGCGAGCACAATGACTTTTGTCAGCTTGCTACCAAGTTGATATATTGCCACTGATACTTCCTGTTAGGATCGCGTTTCGTTTTTATCTGTATGTGCAGTTGATATCGATTACCAAACTGCAATGCTTGGGGTTTGGTTGGATGATCTCCTATCGCTTCAATAATTAGTTTCAAATTGTTGGACAAGTTTTATAACCCAAGTCCTTTGGAAAGTTTACATAGAATGTATGATACTCACTCACTTTGAAAATATTGTTGTACACAGATCTTGTTTTTATTATATTGTTGATACTCAACTCGTATAAAGATCGCTACATTTGCAGTACTTGCCTCAAAAAACGGTATTCTCCATAGTATTATTATTATATTATTACCCATTTCTTTTCATAGTGATGTATGGCTTCAAGGATTGAAAGTTAGGGTGGAAACCTCGATGAGTGATGGTCCGATTGCCCAGCCAGCGGGTCCGTCATGGTGGTCCCTATCCTACTGGACTGGGAGGAATAGCCGAAATCCGCCCGTGCAGGTCCCGACGGAACCTTCCGTGAGTACGGCAGCGAAGGCGGATGTGGTGAGGTTTATCATATCTTTTGCTCCTATTGGAGAAATCCGAGATATCGCTAGTCAAAAATGAAATTTTCAGAAAACTTGAGCCATCTCCATCAGAGGCAGCACCACAGACAGAGGGATGTGTCGAAGTAAACGCCAAGGAATTGCCCGCCTGGGAACGAATACGATTACTGTACACACAGCCAAGCATGGAACGGGATTGTACCATGAGGGTTAGTCCTGGAAAATTTCATTTCGCTCGTGTTAATCACTAAACCCTCATTCAGGTCACACGTATGGCGTTCCTCAGTGGGTTTTTCTTAGGTGGTATATCGACGTATGCACAGGCTAAAGAAACATTCGAAAGAAGTAATGTTGGTCGCAAATATCTAAGTCCAAGCGATGCAGTTGTGAGTGACATTGAAGCGGCGGTTTTGGAATGTATCCGTCTCTAAATCTTTCCAGAAACGGCGAATGGACTACGCAATTTTACGTTTCGCTAAAAGTGGATTTTCCATGGGTTTCAAATGCGCCTTCATCTCTGGCAGTATAGTGTAAGTTTGGCAGGTTTTCGCTGGCTCTGAGCGGAATTCATCATATTTAGGCTTTTGTCAACTCACTTTGGCGGCATA